GCACATTGGCTGCTCTTGCAGAGGACCTAGGTTTGGTTCCCAGTACCCATGGCTAACAACCGTCTGTAACTCCAGTTCCAGGGGGGAGCCAACGCCCTCTTCTGACCTCCTCAGGCATTGCACAACACAGGTGCACTTACGTACATGCAGGCAATACATGCATACACATAAAATAAAAATAATAAAATTTTCAAAGCCAGCCTGGTCTCCATAGCGAATTGAACCTGAGTCCTTTGCAAGAGCAGTCAGTGCTCTTAACCGCTGAGTCATCTAACAGCCTCTTCTGACCTCCTCAGGCATTGCACAACACAGGTGCACTTACGTACATGCAGGCAATACATGCATACACATAAAATAAAAATAATAAAATTTTCAAAGCCAGCCTGGTCTCCATAGCGAATTGAACCTGAGTCCTTTGCAAGAGCAGTCAGTGCTCTTAACCGCTGAGTCATCTCTCTAGTCCCCCGAGTTATTCTCTTTAACAGTAAGTTCTGATCCAGCTCTGTAAAGGCAGGAGTACACCTCCTCTACCTCCTATTCCTTCTAGCCCTTCTAATATGCCAAGAGGCAGTCTCCACACAATGGCTCACCATTCAACCAATTCTGCTTTGTTCCCAAACATTCATTCCCCCTGCCTTCTGGGGGCCTCTTATGTTCAGGTAGGAGCTTTTCAGGAACCTGATCCTGTCACAGGCCTTTTCCTGTGTGACAAGTCTAGTGCTAAGCATGAGTAAGCAGGCTTTACATAGAGACCATTATTATTCATAAAAATAATGACTACACCTCCAGAAATGGGGCAGATTTGACCTAAAAGAGACAAGCTGCATCTTTATTAAGTCCACCAGGCTACTATTCAGGTCTCTTGCTACAAATAACATATGGGCTTTTCCTCAACTATGTTGAGCAAACACATTAGATACACAATATTCTGCCAGATTCAAGGACAGGGTTTGGTTTCACAGGGCAGATGGATATCCACAGGGTGAAACAAAGGATTTTCCAAAGAACAAAATCCAGAAGACACTCACCTTCAGTCTCCCAAATTAGATACCAATGACTTCTCATTTCCAACTTTTCTTACACAGACCATTTGAGGTTATCAAAGAGCCAGAAAAAAATGAAAATAATATTTAATTTTCCTTTTCTTAGAACTGCGAGGAATATCTGGAAAATACTACAAGTTAAAAATATACTAGTTGGTTTGTATTATTTTGCTGCAATTTTCTCTTTCCTAATCTGGTTTCGGCAACCACATGAATCAGTTCCTACTGGCTCAAGCTATATTTTCTGAATGTGGGTTGCAGATTATCTTTCCAAATAAAAGTGCCCAGATTAAAAACGCTCTTCACCCTTCCTGAGAATTACACAGGCTGGTAGTAAAAGACCATCTTTGTATAGAACAAATGAACCGAGGAAAATATGCCTTCCTCTCCTCTGGCTCCTACATAGCCAGTCAAATGAGATGTTTTATCATTTTAAATTTTTGATTGAGCATGCTGAGAAAAACCCCTTTTTCTGGTCTTTACAGTTTTCTCAGTTTGAGGACTGAATTAAGGCACACTCAAATTGGATGGATGGTAAAGCTGGGCCTAGCTACCAGGCCATGGTGGGAGTGACAAAAGGCAAATAGTGGGCCTGTAGGACTGGTTCCACCTTCCCTCTCCCTCTAGGCATCAGGATTCAGACTGCTCTCTGCTTGTGGGAGAGGGATCACAGGTCCCACAAAAACCTTCATGTTACTGTATAGAGACAAGTTTCCTGACCTGAGGACTCAGAGGAGCAGCAGGGCAAAGAGCAGGCTCATAATGAGGGGGAAAAAAATCAGAGTGCCTACCTTAGTGTTAGAAAAGGAGAAACTCTGCTCCTTTGGCAAATTAAAATAAATACATTCTCAGGTTTGGGGTGAAGCTCAGTATCAGAGTGACGGGTCCTGGGTTCTCATACCAAGCACTGCAAAAATAATAAAAAATTAAAGCTAGGCATGGGGCACATGCTTGTGATCTCAGAATTTGATAGGTAGAGGCTGGAAGATCAGGAGTAGGCTGGGCATGGTGGTGTCTATAATCCCAGCATTTAGGAGGCTAAAGCAGGAGGATTGCCACGAGTTCAAGGATAGCATGGGCTACACAGTGAGTATTAGGCCCATGAGGGGTACACACCCAGACGGTCTCAAAAAGTGTAAAACAAAAGCTGGGAGTGGTAGTGCATGCCTGTAATTCTAGCATTTGAGAGCTGGAGGTAGGAGTTTATTTCATTAGTAAATCTGTTAATATAGTCTGCCTTCTGTATCCATAGGCTCTGCATCTGCAGGATCCACAGATTCAACCATAGATTGGAAATATGGGGGGAAAAAACATCAATCCTGCATTCACAGCAAAAACCCAAACAAGCCACGTACAGACTTTTTCATTGTCATTCCCTAAGCAATATAGGATAGCAGTTATTTATCCAACATTTACACTGCACTGGGTGTTATAAGAAACATAGAGATGATTTAAATCTTTAAATTATGTGGGAGGGGCCTGGGCTATATACAAATACTATGCCATTTATATGAGACTTAAGTATCTTCTGATTTCAGTACCTGTGTGTGTGTGTCGGGGTGGGGGGCTATCCTAGAACATACCTCTCTCAGATGCTGAGGGATGACTGTAGAATCAGATTTAGTTTCCATACTTAAAACTTTATGTAAAAACTTTCTACAGGGCAGGGTGTGGTGGCACACGCCTTTGATCCCAGCACTCAAGAGGCAGAGGCAGGTGGATCTCTGTAAGAGGTCAGCCTGGTCTATGTAGCAAGTTCTAGGCCAGCTGGGGCTACAAAGAAACCATTCTACAATGTTTCTATCTTGTTTAAAAATATACTTTAAAAATTTTTTAAAAATATTTTATTATTTTTATTTTATGTGTAAAATTAAAAATTTATGTGTAAATTAAAAATTAAAGATTTATTATTAATTTTGTATGTGTGTGTGTGTGTGTGTGTGTGTGTGTGTGTGTGCCTCTAGGTTTGTACACATGACAAGGCAGGTGTTTGAGGACCTCAGAAGAGGGTGTCAGGTCCCCTGGAGCTGGAGTTACAGGCAGTTGTCAGCCATCCAATCTGGGTGGTGGGAGCCAAACTTAAGTCCTCTGAAAGAGCAGTATGTGCTCTTAATTGCTGACTCATCTCTCTGGCCCCTATTTTTTATTTTTAATCTATGCTTTTAATATGTTTTACTTATTATTTTTATGTGTATGATTGTATTGCCTGCATGTATGTAAATATACCCATGTCATGCAATGCCTTCAGAGGACAGAAGAGGCCATTGAATTCCCTGGGACTGGAGTTTTGCAGAGTTGTTAACTGCCATGTGGGTGCTGGGATTGGAACCCAAGTCTTCTGCAAGAACAATCAGTGTTCTTAACCTCTGAGCCATCTCTCTAGC